AACTCCCAGAATGCCAAGCCGGCATAGACTCTATGACCGACAATACTGCCCTATGCACCTTTTTTTCTGGCATTTCCCCCCTTTTTTTCTTTTGCGAAGTCCTATATATGCGTTCACCGTTTACCTGCTCCTTTTTCCAATCCAGAAATTCAGGGGGTTCGGCGCCACGTGGGTTGAATTAACTTCCGGGTTCAGGAAGGAACGCTCCTCCTGATCCTAGAGTTCTCTCGCAGAGATCATAGAGCGGCGGCCGGAAGGTAGGACTTTGTTCTTTGGTGCCCTCTGTTGGCGGGGGGATTAAGCCGTCCGGATGCACAACCGGCTGGGTCTTTCTTTGTAGAAACCTTGATTGAGTGGCTGTGGATGATGGGGACCGTAGTGGTAGCCGTGGAAACGTAGTCGGTTGGGTGGAAAGGCTAGGTCGAGAGAGAATTTTGTGGGTGACTTTTGTCCATGACTGTGGAAAGGTAGTCACGGTACTCCTTGACCTACGACTACAATTGAGCCCAAAATTTCTGTTAATAAGCCAGACAGTTCTTAAGCGAGTTTTGTCCCACTTTACGACCTTTCTTGCCACAGTTATGATGAAGTGAATCACTGCAGTGGTTAAGAGACTGGACAGTCACTTGTCTCAAATAGTACAGGTTCTCCTGCTTGAGCAGGGGGCTAGACTAGAAGATCTCTAAGGTCCCTTCCACCTCTGTTCTATTCCATTCCATTCTATTCTATTCTATTCTATGTTTTAAGAAGAGTCTAGAGACAGTCACTTGTCTGAAATGGGATAGGTTCTCTTGCTTGAACAGGCGGCTGGACTAGAAGATCTCCAAGGTCCCTTCCAGCTCTGTTCTATTCCATTCCATTCCATTCCATTCTATTCTATTCTATCCTATTCTATGTTTTAAGAAGAGTCTAGAGACAGTCACTTGTCTGAAATGGGATAGGTTCCCCTGCTTGAGCAGAGGGTTGGACTAGAAGATCTCCAAGGTCCCTTCCAACTCTGTTCTATTCCATTCTATTCTATTCTATTCTATGTTTTTAAGAAGAGTCTAGAGACAGTCACTTGTCTGAAATGGGATAGGTTCCCCTGCTTGAGCAGGGGGCTAGACTAGAAGATCTCTAAGGTCCCTTCCACCTCTGTTCTATTCCATTCCATTCTATTCTATTCTATTCTATTCTATGTTTTAAGAAGAGTCTAGAGACAGTCACTTGTCTGAAATGGTACAGGTTCTTCTGCTTGAGCAAGGGGCTGGACTAGAAGATCTCCAAGGTCCCTTCCAACTCTGTTCTATTCTATTCCATTCTATTCTATTCTATCCTATCCTATGTTTTAAGAAGAGTCTAGAGACAGTCACTTGTCTGAAATGGGATAGGTTCTCCTGCTTGAACAGGGGGCTGGACTAGAAGATCTCCAAGGTCCCTTCCAGCTCTGTTCTATTCCATTCCATTCTATTCTATTCTATTCTATGTTTTCAAGAAGAGTCTAGAGACAGTCACTTGTCTGAAATAGTACAGGTTCTTCTGCTTGAGCAGGGGGCTAGACTAGAAGATCTCCAAGGTCCCTTCCAGCTCTGTTCCATTCTATTCTATTCCATTCCATTCTATTCTATTCTATGTTTTTAAGAAGAGTCTAGAGACAGTCACTTGTCTGAAATGGTACAGGTTCTCCTGCTTGAGCAGGGGGCTGGACTAGAAGATCTCCAAGGTCCCTTCCACCTCTGTTCTATTCTATTCCATTCCATTCTATTCTATCCTATCCTATGTTTTTAAGAAGAGTCTAGAGACAGACACTTGTCTGAAATAGTACAGGTTCTCCTGCTTGAGCAGGGGGCTGGACTAGAAGATCTCCAAGGTCCCTTCCAGCTCTGTTCTATTCTGTTCCTATTCCATTCCATTCTGTTCTTGGTTGTTAAGTCCATCTAGCTTCCTCATTGACTTTGTCAGAAAGTCGCAAAAGGGATCATATCACCCCTGGACACTGCGACAGTCATCAATGTGAGCGTCCAAGTTGTCAAGCGTCCAAATTTGGATCACGTGGGACGATGGGCAGTGTTGTGAAAAATGATCAAAAGTCACTTTTTTCATAGGCGTTGTCACTTCAGTCCCTAAAAAAATTGTAGTAAATTGAGGACCACCTGAATGTGATGGTGAAGAGCAAGGAAATTATTTTTAGGATTAAAACAGGGATGTCCAAACTTGAGAACTTTAAGACTTGTGGACTTCAATTCCCAGAATACCCCAGCCAGCATGGCTGGCTGGGGTATTCTGGGAGTTGAAGTCCACAAGTCCTAAAATTCCCATGTTTGGACACCTCTGGATTAGAGAAACCATATAAAATGTTTTCCCATTTGATGAATGAAATGCCCTCTTTCGGTGGTATTAAGGTGTGCAGCTGGCACCTTAGCTTGAAGCCTTTCCCCCCCCCCCATCCTCAACAGTGATGGGATCCATTTTTTAAAAAACTACTGGTTCTGTGGGTGTGGCTTGGTGGGTGTGGCCAGATTGTCATGTGACTGGGTGGGCGTGGCCAATTTAGCAGTCCATTAAACAGTGTACAGCTGCTCCCCTTTCTATTCTTTTTAACACCGCGTGAAGTTTTTGCTCCAGGTTGTTTTTATTAGAGGGGAGAGGTTGGCAATGCCTGGGGATTTCTGAGAATTTCTCCTCTGTGTTAGAGGCACCAAAATAACCAAGATGATATCCTGCTGGAGCAGGGGGTTGGACTAGATGACCTCCGAGATCCCCTCCAGCCCCAGATTGCTGTGCTGTTTAGAAGCATTCTCTGAAGCTGCATCTAGTGCCAGATTTGTGACTCCCCCTCCATCCCTCCATCCATGCCTCATTCACTTTTCCACCCCTTCCTTTTCTCCCTTCCCTCTTTCTTTCTCTTTCTCCCTTTCTTTCTCCCTTCCCTTCCTTTCTTTCTCTTTCTTTCTCCCCACCCTCCTTCTTTCTTGCTCTTTCTCCCCTTTCTTTTTCTTTCTTTCTTTCTTTCTTTCTTCCTTTCTCTTTCTTTCTTTCTTTCTCCAGCCCCGCCTGATGTAGCTACCTCACAGGATTGTTGTGGGGAAAAGTAGAGCAGGAAGAGCGATACGTATGCTGGGAAAAACACAGGTCATAAATTAAATATTTCCGATTTTGTTTGGGGGGGTGGGAATCGGGTGGGGGTTTTTTGTCCTAATTCCTGCAGTGTTTAATTTTTAACAAATCTTCAGCAGCAGAAGTTTTAAATCATTAACTGCATCCTACTTGGTCCTAAGTCCAGTGCGATGCTTTGGAAATAATCCTCCGGAATTTGCCAAAGGGAGATGTTTTCGACGCTAAAAGAGAAGCAGGGAAGCGTGGCGGCTGAGATTAAATTAGGAAAGATTGTTCCACAGTTGGCTTTGGCTATCAATTCTCCATTCCCCTTAGGCAACCCACATGGGTGTTTTCAGCTTCAGTTCTGCTCTGAATACAGCCTGGAAAATAAAAAATAAAACTGGCCCATTTCGGCTGAATTTACGGGCGCCAGTGAGCCTTATTTCTGGGTAAACATGTGGTAGGATGGGCCATTAAGCCTTTCACAAAATATTAACTCCACGTCTGTTCGTTTTGTCAAAGTGTTTGTTCATTTCATGCCAGTGGAAACAAAAAACAAGGAATCTCCTTCCCGCGTTGGCATTTCACAACTCAAAATGAGGAAATGAATTGCAAGTTTGCCTCCAGATGGAATGATGGAGCTGGTATTAAAATATGCCTCTGTTGGTGTGTTGTGTGTTTCCATCAGTGGTGGGTTGCCAATTTTGTTACTACCGGTTTGGACGCATTCCAGGGATAGGTTACTGCCAGCATTACTGCCGGTTCGGTGCGCGCGCAATTTTGCCAGATGCTGAGTTCCAATCTTGCTTTAGGCATAAAAACTGACTGGCTGATTTTGGCCCAATCACCAGGAGACGCTGACTTCTAATCCCGCCTTAGGTATGAAAACTGATGGGCTGACGTTGGCCCAATCACCAGGAGACGCTGACTTCTAATCCCGCCTTAGGTATGAAAACTGATGGGCTGACGTTGGCCCAATCACCAGGAGACGCTGACTTCTAATCCCGCCTTAGGTATGAAAACTGATGGGCTGACTTTGGCCCAATCACCAAGAGATGCTGACTTCTAATCCCGC